ACGGCACCTGCTGGATTGCCAACGTTCGTGGGCACCCTGCCCCCGCGGGACGACGTACCCATCTTGTCCAGAGACGTCACTCGACATTCACTCGAGAATCGTTTTTTATCAGATATCATTTTCCCGAAACATCGAGATTCGTGCTTCGCACCGCATTTCGTATTCGAGTCGGAACTCGAATATCATCTAGTTTATAAAGTGCTTCGAAAATAATTGAAAAGTAACGGGTGATACAGGATGAATGGCTGCACTTTGCATTTTATTTTTTTTATCCCTAAATACGATTTATTAACAAAACAAAACATACTAGAAAATGCAGCGTGAAAAGTTCTACAATTTACATAAAACCTCGTTTTTTACAGTTGACTTTTTGTGCTCAGAATGGTTAAAACTTCTAGCGTTCAAATTTCGACTGTCCGAAAATGATATTTTTTGTACAAGATGAATTTGTCATCTTTTTACAATTATTATGTGTAAATTGCAGGGCTTTTCACACTGCATCTTGTGGTACAATTTGGTTTTCTTTTAAAAAAAAAACATGTCAGGTGGTAAATAAGAAAAAACGCTTTCGTGATATATCAAAAAAAAAAGATTTTTAATTTCAAACCTATGGAGGCTCGTTGGAATAGTTTGAGGGTTCTTGTTGTCAAATCATGTATCTCATTATGTCGAAGATGTTTTCTCATGAACCTTTGAATTTAGATAGAGCTCGACATGTTCTATAAAAATGTCAGCGAGACATTTGCTTGTTTTCATAACAAGAAACGTAAAAACAAATTGTTTCTCTAAAAGTAAGTTTTTGCTTGCATTCTGTTAGAGTGTCGTTAGTAGGAAAATTGTTCCTAATAATGATGAGATGCAGTTCATTATCGTAGACAGCTGATTTCTCCACTGCAACTTTTAAGAAGAAAGGTCATTCGAATGTATATAAAAAAAAATATTTTCAATCGACTGTGAAATAGCCGTGCACGAAATTTTTTCTTCGTCGTTATAAGGAACACTGACTCTAAGTCTCCATATTCATATCCTAATATGATACTTGTCCAGGTCTTTTCTTCTTTTCATTAGTTTTTCTTTTTATCTATTAGAAAATTCGCATTTCTATTCCCACAATGGATGTATGTAATTATAAAGCATGTATACAACAACTTGTACTGAAAAGTCTTTATTTTGGTGTTTCCACATTTTGTAGTCGAACTAAACAATTAATCATAACATATGCATATGTTTTATCGAACAATTGTGTTTGTTTTTCAGTAATTTTTTATTATTAAATAAAAGACAAAAAAATATATTCCATAGTTACAATTAAATAAAAATACACGAACGATGTACTTCTACTTTCTCCTCATACAACACACTTTCTATCTCCTTCACATCAATAAATAACATATCTTCTTTTAACAAATCTTATTTTTCCTTCTTATCTCGATGACTTTATTTATCAATGATTTTACTTAATAACTAATAGATAATCTTGAATCTTTATCTTCACTTCATACAAAAGAAAATGATATTGTTCGTTTATTCAATGAATTACTTCCATGGACATATAATTGTCGAACATTAATCGATGCTGCTCGAAATGGTCAAACAGCTGAATGTGAAGATTTAATTCGACTTGGTGTTGATATCAATGAAAGTGATAATTATAGAAATACCGTTGTTTGGACAACCTATTTTCATGATTCCGTTAGAATTCCCCAGAAAATAACCAGATATTATTTGGAGGACAGTATCAATATTTGATTATTGAATGTAATTATTTTACAGTTTAGCAAATTAAAGAAAGACAAGTAGAAAAAAAAACAACTAGTAAGCTATGACAATTGTCTTGAACACATCTGTTGCATATAACAAACAGAGAACTAAAGCCAAAGACGAAATCTTGATATTTCAACGTCTATTCGACTATGAGGAAAGCGAACTTGAACCATTGACCGATAAACTTCAACTTTTTCATAATGAATTTCGCCATAAATATCGAGAAAGGTAAATTCTTTTAATTTTTCGACCAATTGACAAAGATCCTGTTCAAAGACGGCCACATGTTGAGCTAAAAAAAAGAATTATATTATTCATTTATTTTCTCGTATAAGATTGTCGTATTTGTAAGTATATACCAATCGATTCGGGTGTTTGTAGAGATTTCAGCCATCGTATAAGTAAAAGCCCATAGGAATATCCTTCTTCATAATCTGGTCGAACTTAAATAAAGAAAAAGACAATGAGACAATATGAATTCATAAAATATACGGGGGTTCAAATTAAAAATAGTTTTCTTTTTCTTTATTGAACTGAAAAGATCGTTTTAAAAGATCTTTTTTTTCTTTTACTTGTCTTTCTTTTTTAAACAATAATGATTTCATGTTTTTTCAAACAAGCAACTTTTATCGCTGAGTTATTATTTTAGTAAAGCCATCGAATTACATGTAAACTTGCTTATGTATAGTTTCAAAAAATATCTGAGTATTCAAAATAGACGTTTGAAGCAAGAAGCTATTCTTTCATGATCTATTCTATTGTTTGTTTAATTCTATAGAGAAAAAAATATCTTTTAAACGAGGCTTTCATTCTTATCATTCTCTCCTAATTACTTCACTTTTTGACCAGAAAGATTTTGAAAACATTATGAATTTGATCGATTGTTTGAAATAAAACTTTGCTTAATTTTCGATCTTTCTTTGGTTTTAGAAAAACATAGAGCAATTAGTGGCATAACCAATAGGGCCAGAATGGACTGAGTTCTAATCTCACCGAAGATTTGAGCTCCACCACGTCTAAGTTTGAGAATTTTTTCCTTTCATAAAGTATGTAAAGATTTATTGCGAAATGATTCATTCAGTGTTTTTAATGATCTAAGAGAACGTAGAGTATAAATTAAACAATAAAATAACTACGCTACTCATAAAGCAATCGAATTGTTTCATAAGCATAGTACACGATGATTAATTATGGATTCATTCTGTTAACTGGATCTTATCGGTCTTTCAAACTTAAGAAGTAAATGAAACAACCCTAGAAGATTGAATAGATTCATTTGCATAAAATAATAAAATGTGATAAGCTAACGTAAGTTAAATAATTTACTATCTTTCTTCAAGACGTTCTATGTTAAACGAGATTAATGAAAGATTCCAAAGAGCTAAGAATTCACTATTAAAAGCATCTATTTTGATTGTATTTTGTAAGATAACAAATACATTATTACTAATAGGATCAGTTCCTAATAATTATATGGATATAGCTTCCAAATAACTTAGTAAAATAAATGCCCCCTTGCGAAAAAAAAACAGTATGTATGATGATCTGCTGAATACTTGCTGTGAATAAGCTGTGGAATGTGATTTTGACGTAAGGTACGGACAAGTTAATTGAAATTTTTCAAACATAGTAAGATTAATCAAACTACGTTAAAATTCATTCCTAGATTTTTGTTTCCAATCTTTCTCAGTTTCATTACTATTTTAAGGCCTTCTTCTTTTGGCAAGATCACTTGGTAAAGTTCAGTTTGGCTGAGCATTCCAGTAGTAACAAGGATTTCTGAGAAAGTTTTACGATGAAAGTTCCAGTGAGATGTTGGATTCTGATCGAGTTGAATGTTATTTGAAACTATCAGTACTATCTTGTAGACTATTGTTACAGGGATTATAGTAGGGGAGGGAGTTAAGTGCAGGTTCCCAGCATTTAGTTCCTGCTCAGCACTTTTCCAGTGTCTGGTACTGAAAAGTGATGAACATGTACTAGATGCTGGGAGCCTACACGTCACCCTTGGAGTATAGAGTTTTGAGTGGTTATTATTTGAAGTCAACACTTACTAGCATTCTTCGTTCGAAGCAGCATTTTTCACTAGATTATAAACAACAAATCCAGAAAACTCGATATTGGGTAATTCAAATCCCTACTTATGTCAACAGAGATACAACAGAAAAAAATTTGTGCAACTAAAAATCGCTTTCAATGAACGCTTCAATAAAAAATAGGGATCATTGTAGTGTGAAAACGCTGAGTAGGATAGCACATTTCTATATGATACAATGTTTCGAAACAAGACAAGAAAATATGATTTTAGTTTGAGTGAAGCGCATGAGAAGCACACTATTTTGATTATTGTCAAATACAATTCTTCATATCAAAGAAGGCTGAGGTCAAACAGTGCCATTTCTAACGTATAGTCTTAATCAAGAATTATAAGAACAAAACATTTAAGTCTCTCTAACTATTGGAGGTTTTTGTATAATTGTTAAAATTTGGTGAAAATTGGAACAATTGTTGAATTAAAATGTCAATATAAGATAAATTTCAGTCCTATTATTTTCTGCAAAGAAAAATGAAATCTAACAGAAAACAATTCTATACATATTTTTTATACCAGTAAACTTTCACTTTAATTGCTGTTAAAAAACATAATTTTTGAGAAAATCTCTTAAATAATGTGTATTAACTGGCTTTACTTATCTTATTCAAAAAAAATGCAATTTTATGTGTCGAAAACCATCTTTTCATGGGCTTAAGAAGTTCGAATAAGATGCAATATCTTTCATTAAGTTCGATTACAAAAAGTAAACGAATCTGCTATAAATTTACAACGTTTGTTTGAAGTTTAAAGAATTTGAAAATAAAATTAAAGTTTTCAAAGCGTTCGATCTTACTTTTCAAATATCGAGTCTATCCTACATAACTTACTAGATGTCCAAGGAAAATCGTCTGATCGCCAAAGACGTAATGTTTGTAAATGATGCATTGTGAATTA